CCACAGCCCTCCTGAGACCCCCAACCCCTCTCCCAACAGCCCTCCAGAGACCCCCAACCCCTCTCCTAAGAGCCCTCTGTGGACCCCCAACCCCTCTCCCAACAGCCCTCCAGAGACCCCCAAGCCCTCTCCCAACAGCCCTCTGGAGACTCCCAACCCCTCTCCCAACAGCTCTCCGGAGACCCCCGAGTGTGGTCCAGCGGCGCTCCATCCCCACGCCCTAGCTCCTGCCAGGGAGGAGACTTCTGAGTGCCGGCTATGTCACAATTCCTCTGGAGGCAAAGCTTTCTCTGAGGCCACCCAGGGAATCCTCAAACATAGGCCTGGGGGATCAAAGCACACAGAGCCCTGGCAGTGAGATCAGGCCACGCCTGTTTCTTGCCAATGGTTCTGAACCCACCCCCGTGGCAGCAACCCTGACCTTTCTGAGGGAGTCTGCGGGGACGCTGCTGACCATCACTCCCAGTGCAGCAGCCACTCCACACTCAGAAAGGACTCTGGGCTCACAAAACCTGCCATGGTCCCACCACGTGGGCTCCGTTAGCTAGCTTGCCACAGACAGCCCTTCATGACTGTCCTGGAATGCCTGCAGGAACCAATGCAAGCATGACCTTAGTTCTACAGACAAGGAAGGATCGGCAAAACGAGAAAGTGTGTTCTTCACTTGCCCTTCCTGGAAAGCAAGAACCCAGGTTCTTTGTTCATTCCACCACACTCTACCCTTGTGACACAGTCTCAGTCTACAAAGTGGCTCTGGGGCCAGTGCTGTGGTGCAGCGGGTTAAGCCGCCACCCATCACACTGGCATCCTGTATGAGTGCCAGTTCGAGCCCCAGCTGCTCCACTTCTGATTCAGCTCCCTGATAATCCGCCTGGGAAAGCAGTGGAAGATGGCACAGGTGCTTGGGCCCTCGCACCCATGTGGGAGACCTGGATGGAGTTCCAAGCTCCTGGCTTTGGCCTGGCCCAGCCCTGGTTGTTGTGGGTATTCAGGGAGTGAACTAGCAGACAGACACACATTCTCGCTCGCTCTCTCTGTAACTCTGCCTTTCAAATAAATAAATCTTAAAAAAAAAAAAAAAAAGATACAGTAGCTCTCAGAAAAACCCCAAAGCTCCCCTCCCCCAAAAGAAGACAACGAGTAATTCACTGACTTCAGGGGATGGTGTTCTTGAGAGTATTTTTTTTTTTTTAATGAACGATTTATTTATTTGAAAGGCAGAACAAGAGACAGAGTGGGAGAGGCTGAGAGGGATCTTCCATCCACTAGTTCACTCCCCAAATGGCCCCAACGGCCGGGACCAGGACCAGGAGCTCCATCCAGGTCTCCCACATGGGTGGCAGAGCCCAAGTACTTGGCCAGTCACCTGCTGCTTTCCAGGTGCATTAGCAGGGAGAGGAGTGGAAGCAGAGTAGCTGGGACTCAAACCGGCATTCATATGGGATGCTGGTGCCACTGTACCACAAGGCCAGACCCTCCTGGGAGTTCTGGAGGGGAGAAACGGGACTGCCCTCTAATGCTTGGTTTGGGTTGTGCTTGGGGCACCTGGTAGGGTTGTAAAGCCCAGAAGAGGCACCTGGCCCCTTGCCAGACGAAGAGGGGCCGGGCCATCACAGACTTCCTCCCACTTGGGGGTCATTGCCCATGGCCTTCCCCTTGGGACGTCTGGGCCTTGTATTTAAACTGTTGGTTTCATTTGTGTCCAAAAAAATTGAGGCTATAAAATTACAAATGATGATTACCCAGGGGGATGAAAGACCTTCAGCCGTGACATAACCAGATTTATTCACCCCTCTAATGGGTCCTGCCAAGGCCCACGTTCAGCTTGCAGAAGTTACAGAAGACAGACACGGCTCTCAGTGTTAGGTAGGAAGTTAGTTAGAAATCAGCCTACGTGTGCGAGAAGGGTCTGAGAAAACTGACATCCACACAGTCCATACAGCATCTGCATTTCAAAGTCACCCCATAACCTTCCAGGTGTAGCCCAGTATCTGCACTTCAGAGCCCCGCCCAGACCCTGATAACCTCCCAGGTGGTTCCCCCCCACCTGGCCTGATAACCTCCCAGGCGGTCCCCCCACACCTGGCCTGATAACCTCCCAGGTGGTCCCCCCACACCTGGCCTGATAACTTCCCAGGTGGTCCCCCCACACCTAGCCTGATAACCTCCCAGGTGGTCCCCCCACACCTGGCCTGATAACCTCCCAGGTAGTCCCCCCACACCTGGCCTGATAACCTCCCAGGTGGTCCCCCCACACCTGGCCTGATAACCTCCCAGGCGGTCCCCCCACACCTGGCCTGATAACTTCCCAGGTGGTCCCCCCACACCTGGCCTGATAACCTCCCAGGCGGTCCCCCATCTACCTGGCCTGGTGATCTTCCAGGCGGTCTCCCCTTCTTCCTGGCTTGATGACCTTCCAGGCAGTTCCCACTTCCACCTGGCCTGATAACTTCCCAGGTGGTCCCCCCACACCTGGCCTGATAACTTCCCAGGTGGTCCCCCCCCATCTACCTGGCCTGATAACCTCCCAGATGGTCCCTCCACATCTGGCCTGATAACTTCCCAGGTGCCCCCCCCACCTGGCCTGGTAACCTTCCAGGCGGTCCCCCCTTCCACCTGGCCTGGTAAACATCCTTCCTCTAAGGCAGGCATCCTAGAGCTAAGCCCCTTGGCAGACACCAGCCAGGCTTCCTTCGACAACCTCAGTGGAAAACTTGGAAAGGTATTTTTCATATTTACATCCAACAAGTCCTTTGTTCTTGAAGAGAAGGGCGGGGGAGAAAGGCGGGAAGGCAAGACCCATTCCCTTAAAACCCCAGCCTAAATGTAAACTGGGCTCTCGCTCAGGTTCTGTCTGGAGGGGTGCCCATCATTCTTGTGGATACCCTGCCCTAAGAAACCTTGCCACCTTGCTTTCCACTGCTCTCTGCCTCATGCCTGAATTCTTTCTTGCACGAAGACAAGAATCCATGGTTTTTTTCTCCGGTAACATCAGTATTCCTCAAGAACAGGAATTGAAAATAAAGAAGGGGAGGTTATTTCCCAGGGCAAAGCCTGCACAAGCCAGAGAGGCCCCTGCCCCACCCAGAACAGGTGCCCCCTGAGCAGAAGTCCCGCCCACGCCCTGCTGCTTCGCACAGGTGAGATCCAAGATGGCTACCAAGCTGAGCTCAACACTCAGCAGGCCTCCCTATCGTCTCATTTCCATGGGAAGTCACCCTCCTGGGTGGAGGAACCATGAATGGACAAAAAAGGAGGCGGCTCCCAGATCCCAGAACTCCAGGACCAACCCCCCCAGTCACTGGCACGCCCACCCCCATTCCCTGTGTCCTGAGCCCCGGGCTCCTCAGCCCCAGGAGGGGAGAAGCCGACCTGTCAGGCTCCACCCCCTCCAAGGTCCCCTCCTTGGCCACAGAACACAGCCGTGCTGCGGATGCTAAGCTTCGGTTTTGCCACCAGCTTTGCAACACTGAACAGACACAGGACCTGGTTTTGAGGTCTCTGCCCCCAGCTACAGGGGAGTAGCAGAAATTCACTTCAAATACAGCAGCCCAGGAAGGCTGAGAGTAAACCAGAAGCAGACACATCATGTGCTGAGGAGTGTCTTCCCAAAGCCCACGCCCACTCATAGGCTCAGTGGACTCAGTGGTTATGGATGTAATCAAATTCAGGTCATCCACACCAGGTCAGGCCCACAGCCTCTGTGTGTCCGTCCATCCCTTCAGCAAATGTCCACTACCAAGCACAAGGCCACCGCTGTGCAAAAGACCCAGCCCGTCTTCACGTAGCTCCCCTGTGGCAGCTGGTTGTGCAGCCAGGCAGGCTGCAGCTCTGGCCTCCAGGGCCAGGTGGGGCTGGTGGCTGGGTGGGGAACCACAGCAGAGAGGGGCTCTACGGAGGGCTGTGGGTGGGTGGGCAGGGCCCCCAAGGCTGGGGTAAGGTGACCCACCTGTCACAGGTGCCTGCTGAAGGCTGCCCAGGATCTTCTCGCCCAAAAGATGGATCAAACGCGTCACCACCTGGGGGCAGAATAAGCAGACAGACCTCTAAATACAAAACTATTATTTAAAAGATGTATTTATTTGAAAGATGGAGACAGAACGAGCTTCCAAATCCACTGGTTCACTCTGCGAATGGTCACAGCAGTCAGGGCTGGGCCAGGCGGAAGCCAGGAGCCTGAACTCCATCTTGGCCTCCCACATGGGTGGCAGGGACCCGAGTACTTGAGTCGTCACTGCTGCCCCAGGCGCATTAGCAGACCCCATGATGACACTGAAATCGTGTCGAGACTCAGGACATGCGGTGTTGGATCCGCTTTTTCAAAACTGCTCTTGACTATAATTCCTGTGGGCTCTGCACAGTGGAGCCCCAGCCACCTCTCTGGTTGCCAGGGAAGTGGGATGAGGATGAGGAGACATCCAATGCCAGGGGCTTTGGTGGGATGGCAGGTGTGACGGCACAGCTCTGTCACTCCGAGCCTCATCGGCCTCTCCCCTTCACTTAGAGTAGCAAGCAGACAATCCAGGAGGAAGCCACCCAAGGCCTGAAGGCAACACAAGGACAGGCTGGTGGGGTTCCTCCTGAGGGGGTACCACTGGGACGTAGGCTGGTCCTGAGGCGCACCCAGTAACAGTCTAAGCTAGAAAGATGAGCACTGGAATAAGGCTACTTTGGGTTGTATTAAAATACATTAGGTGGCCGGCGCCGCGGCTCACTAGGCTAATCCTCCGCCTGCGGTGCCGGCACACTGGGTTCTAGTCCCAGTCGGGGCACCGGATTCTGTCCTGGTTGCCCCTCTTCCAGGCCAGCTCTCTGCTGTGGCCCGGGAAGGCAGTGGAGGATGGCCCAAGTGCTTGGGCCCTGCACCCCATGGGAGACCAGGAGAAGCACCTGGCTCCTGCCTTCGGATCAGCGCGGTGCGCCGGCTGCAGCGCGCCGTCCGTGGCGGCCATTGGAGGGTGAACCAACGGCAAAAGGACGACTTTTCTGTCTCTCTCTCTCACTATCCACTCTGCCTGTCAAAAAAAATAAAAAATAAATAAAAAAATACATTAGGTTTTTAGGGTTGTAGACAAGTATTCAAAATTAGAATGTCAAATATCTGGAGTTTACTTTTTAAAAAATGCTATTTTAATTCATTTTTAACTGACAAAATTGCTATAATTTACTTTATTTCTTTCTAGAGTTAGACAGTGAGAGAGAGAGATAGAGAGAAAGGTCTTCCTTCTGTTGGTTCACCCCCCAAATGGCTGCCACGGCCGGCGCGCTGCGCCGATCCAAAGCCAGGAGCCAGGCACTTCCTCCTGGTCTCCCATGCAGGTGCAGGGCCCAAGCACTTGGGCCATCCTGCACTGCCTTCCCGGGCCACAGCAGAGAGCTGGACTGGAAGAGGAGCAACCAGGACAGAACCAGTGCCCCAAATGGGACTAGAACCTGGAGTACTGGCACCACAGGCGAAGGATTAGCCTAGTGAACTGCGGCGCCGGCCACTGTAATTTGCTTTCAAACACTTTGATTAAAAGCAAAAAGAGCTCTGTGCTTTAACTGCTCGTGTGCTGCTGTGGCAGCCCCGTGACCACAGACGACTGGAAAGGAGGCATGCGTTGCTCCAGAAACCAAGCTTCCTGGGACAGCTGAGCCCACTGAGGGTCATCTTGATGAGCCCTGGAAGGGGTGCCCCTCCTCCTCCTCCCTCTGACCCTCTGCTTTCAGCCTCAGAACTATGGAATCCAAACCACAATGAGATACCGTTCCCTACCCGAGATGATGGCTGACACCGACAGGGACTGGCACCACTAAGAGTGGCGGTGACGCCAAGCACCTGAACTCATGCAGCACTCTGAAGAGCTGTCTGCCACGTTCTTGTTTGATTTACTTGAAAGGGACACACAGAGAGAAACAGCTCTGATCCATTGACGCACTCCTCAAATGCCCACAACAGCCAAGGCCAGGCCAGGCCAAAGCCAGGAGCCCGGAACTCCATCCTGGAACCCACGCCATCACTGCTGCCTCCCAGGATGCACCAGCCGGAAGCCTGGAATTGGGGGCAAAGCTGCACTCAAAGCCAGACACTCTGACATGGGATGCGGACACCCTGAGGAGAGTCTTAACCACTGCTCACCCACTTCATGACCCAGCAATTCCAGTCTTGAGTGTTTGGCAAGAGAAATGACAAAATTGTCCAGTAGAGATATCTGTGCTGGGGCCAGCACTGTGGTGTGGCTGGAAAGGCTGCCGCCTGCAGTGCCAGCATCCCATGTGGGCGCCATTCAAGTCCCGGCTGCTCCACTTCCCATCCAGCTCTCTGCTGTGGCCTGGGAAAGCAGAGGAAGACGGCCCAAGTCCTTGAGCCCCTGCACCCGCGTGGGAGACCTGGAAGAATCTCCTGGCTCCTGGCTTCGGATCTGCACAGCTCTGGCCATTGCAGCCATGTTGGGGGTGAACCAGAGGATGGAAGGCCTCTCTCTCTCTTTCTGCTTCTCCTTCTTCCTCTGTGTAACTGTGACTTTCAAATAAATAAATAAAAAAGAAAATCAATATTAAAAAAAGACATTTGTGCAAGAATATGTTCAGCTGCCCCCAGCTGGAAGCAGCTCAAACATCCACCAGGCTGATGGCCCACGACCTGCACCGTGCGGTGGACCCGGACTCTGGCCACAGCACTTGCAGGGCCTCTGGGACACGGAAAACACTGCTTTCTGCATGATCTTATTCAGACGGGATGCAAGACAGAAGTGTAAAGAAGACAGGGCAGAGGGCTGACTGGGGGCCAGGACAGCCAACAAGTCCACCAAGAGTGACCAAGGGTTCTGGGGCAAGCACAGGGCACACCGTCCTGGCACTCAGCCTCAGGCCACTGCCAACAGGTGCTGTCTCCCGGCCAGCAGCAGCTCACCACCTAGGAAAGCTGCACACGTGCCCAGTGGTGCCAGCACGAGCCACATGGGGGGCTGTGAAGGGGGTCACAGGGCCACTATTGATGCCATCCACAGGGCACAGACTGCAGCAGCCCCCACAGCTGACCGATGTTCACCTGCACCGTGTGCGGCAGGCCCTTGAGGGCTGTCAGTGCAGCAAGACGGGCGTCAGCACACCGCCCCTAGAACCTGCTGCCTCTGAGGTGCCGCCGGGATCCTCCGACAAGGGCCCTGCTGTCCTGGCCTGGTGACTCCCCACACAGAGAACAAGGCCAGAACCAAGCAAATCAAGGAAGGGCAGCAGCTGCTGCAGCCCCTCAGGCCACATTCCACATGTCCGCACTCGTGGGACAGCAACGTCAACATGGTCGCCACTGTGACACAGGCCAGCTGAGGGGAGGGTGGGCAAGGACCACATGGTGACCCCTGGAGGTGAGGTCTGGGCAGGTGGTGGGAATGGTCTGGGCGAGGCCCTGGGAATGTGGGGGCCGCTCATCCCCTATCTCTCCATTTGTCCCAGAACGGACAATTTACGTTATGGGATTAAAGATCAAACAGACCTGCCCGGCAGCTCCTCTGGCTCCTCGCTGCTGGGCAGCCTTGACCAGACCTCCAGCTCTCTGAGGGCAGACTCTTTGTCACTTTCGGAGCTGCACCCATGGCACTAGCCACAGAACAACACCAGAAGCAGCACGTATAACAGCCCTGGGAGCGTCTGGACGCCCCAAGCTTCGCTGCCTGGACTGCTCACCCGTCCCACCTGCCCTGAGATGAGCACGTGGGAAAGCCCCATGCACTCAGAGCCACGTGTTCAAGTGTCACTTCCTCCAAACCACCCAACCTGCTCACCCCAGTCGGTCACATCCGCACTTTGACCAATGCGCCACCTGACTTCAAGGCACAGTTCAGAACAAGAACCTGGCCCCACTCTTACCTGTGGGTACCTGCGCTTGATGGATGTCAGGGCTCCTGCAGGCAGCTTGGCCAGTTCTGAGTCCCGTACAGCGTGTACTGTGGTTGCCCTGACCTGGTGGGTCAGCGCCTCCACCTGAGGAAGAGGAAGTGGGCACTGGGGCTGCACTGCCCAGGAGGGGCAGGGCGGCCACACCTGGGGCGCAGTGGTCCAGCAGACAGCAGCCTGCAGGAGAGCCACACACAGCTGTAGAGCTTAGGAAGCAAGGGTGGGGGCAAAATGACTCTGCCAAATCCTCTGCTCTGTGCGGGCGGAATCCAGTGAGTGCTCGGGCTGGCAGGACCACTGAGCATGCCAGCAGCCCAGGCGGGTCTCAGGGTCGGGCTCTGGCCCCCACTCCGGCCGGCACAGGGCCATCTGGACGTCCTGCAGGAGCACGTGCCTCTGGAGAAGCGTGGACCCGGGCCCACCGATGCGGCCCACGTCTGGCGTGTTACCCAAGGCATCGTGCAGGCATCTTGCTGGTTGTGCACACTTTCAGCCAAGAGGCTGCAGTGCACACTGCGTGGTCCACAGAAGGCGGGGCCACCTGGGTCTTGGTCGAGTCTGAGGTTCTGAGGCCTCAGAGCCTTGCCTAGGGAGCACGTGGAGGCAAGGGCAGATGTGGTGACAGAGCCCTCGTGGGTCCCAAGGGCCGCACATGAGGAAGGAGCCCTGGGCACACACCACCAGGTGCTGCAGCCTCAGAGACGCTGTCCTGAAGACAGGCCTGGAGGCCGAGAGCCCCTGGGCTTCCCCAAACTCTGGTTTAAAACAAATCAACAGAACTCCAAGCTCCAGGAAACATTATCTTAAAACTATTCTTCCTGCAGACACACGAGCTCCCCATGGCAGCATCTCAGGGCCAGCCAGCTGCAGCTATGATGGAGGGACCTGCCTGTGCCTGGACGTAGCTGCCTGCTGTGCGAGGCGGCTCCGGAGGCCCGGACGCACAGCCAGTTGCCTTCCCTGTTGCTATCCATCTACCAGGGCCACAGACTAGCTGGGAGCAAGGGAGCTGTGTGCCCAGAAAACCAAGGACAGCTCCCCCTGTCCCCAGCTACCTGGAAGGCTCCCGCAGCCCAGCCCTTATGGGCTCCCAGAGGGCAGAGCCTCAGGGTTCAGAGACCAGCTCCCTACAGGTCATTGTACTGCTGTACTCCCCACACCCAGGCAACCTGCCAGGCAGTGGCAGATAGCAAGACAGGAGTGGGGGCAGGGCAGCAGGATCCAATACCCACCACTCCAACAAGGTCTCCGCGGCCGTACTCCCCGACCAGGCGCTTTTTTCCATCTTCCTTCCGGACCACAGAGCGTAGCCGGCCGCTGAGGACGATGTATGTGCAGTCGGACTTGTCACCCTGCCTGTGGAGACAGAGGCTTGGAGCCCGCAACTCACCAGCACCCCCCCCAGCCCCAGCCCCCATCCCCGACCCCCGGGGAACCTCAGAGTACACAGAAATATAAACATGCAGTCTTCTCAGTTAAAAGTTTGGAAAAATGTAGTTGTTCTTCACAAAAATAAATATGTTAACATGTATGGGTTTATCGTCAGTTTCAAAGAAGTAACTATAGGCCAGCACCGTGGCTCACTAGGCTAATCCTCTGCCTTCGGTGCCGGCATCCCGGGTTCTAGTCTCGGTTGGGGCGCCGGGTACTAGTCCTGGTTGCTCCTCTCCAGTCCAGCTCTCTGCCGTGGCCTGGGAGGGCAGCAGAGGATGGCCCAAGTGCTTGAGTCCCTGCACCCGCATGGGAGACCAGGAGGAAGTACCCAGCTCCTGGCTTCGGATCGGTGCAGTGTGCCGGCCGTAGTGGCCATTAGGGGAGTGAACCAATGGAAGGCAGACCTTTCTCTCTCTCTCTCTCTCACTGTCTATAACTCTCTCTGTGTCTCTCTCTCTTACTAACTCTGCCTGGCGGAAAAAAATAATAAGACGTAACTACAGAATTTTAGTTTTAATTTCCAGCACCATGAGAACTGCCGGCTGTCTCCAGGCCCGCCTGTGGGCTGAGTGAGCCTGGTCGGTGACGGAGCTCGGAGCAGCCCGTCTCAGGTGCGACACTCCCTCAGTGCTCAGCGCAGGAGCAGCTCAAACAAGCGCTCTTGTCAGTGAGGCCCCACTGGTCATTTTCAGGGATGCGGTGGGTTTCCGTGTCTGGACATGGGAAGACACCCTACAGAAATGTGCCCGGGAGGACGGCCCTGAGCGCTCTTCCCAGGGGGCCTCCTCCTGGGGGTGGGCCGAGGAAGTGCACCCCCCAGTGACCTCCACAGGGATCAGCTCTGCCCACCAGCTGCACGGATGTCAGGAAGGAGAGGCAGAAGCCTGCGGGTCTCACCTGTACACCGCACGGCCGGCCTCCACCTCCACCCAGTCCAGAGCGAAGTCGATCTGCCGCACAAAGGGTGACATCCTCCTCACGACGGTGTGCGCGACGCTCAGGACGACAGTCGGCTGCCTCCGCATGATTCTGCCAGGGCAGCCCAGTCAGCCCTGGCCCCCACTCTAGCTCCCTCTGCTACCCGGCACCCCAACACTCTGCTCCTTCCTCAGGGTCACGGCTCTGAAAGGCAGGTGTGAGGCCCGCAGCCCCTACCTTCGACCAGGGGCCACCTGCCCACTTGGGGCGGGACCACTGGCCAAGGGCTGGAACAGAGCAAGATGCCCGTCAGCTGCCTGCTCTTTGGTGCCACAGCACTGCCTGCCACATGCCCAGCGGCCAGTGCTTGGGAGGCTGGGGCAGCCCCCCAGCATCATCCACTCATGAGTGCCCTTGAGCCCGAGCTATGCCCAAGGCCTGGGTCCTGGCTGTGGAACTGCACACCCCACTCTGGAGACAGTGCCCAGCCAGACCACAAGGATCCTGGAGCCTGGGTAGGGAGGGGGAAGAGGAGCTGAGGGCTCTGACCCAGGGACACCACCATCTCCCTGGTGGCCTGTGTGGACCAGCAGCAGCAGGGGCATCCCGAGGTCCAGGGGCCCAGCATCAGGCAGACAGAACGAACATGCAGTCGTTTACTCCTATCTGATGCAGCAAATGCAGTAATATTCAGTCATTTACTGCACACCAGAGGTGGGGCCCTTTGACACTGTGAGGAGACGGAAAGGCAGCAGCTGGCTGACAAGGGCCCCAGAGAGGACGATCTGGAACTCACAGCCCTGCATGCTGAGGTCCCCAGGAAACCATCTGGGTCGTGTCTGTAGGCTGGGGACTGCCTGAATCAGGGGCCCTCACACCTAGCACAGACAAGGCCACACATGGACACATGCGCGTGCGCACACACACACACACACACGACACAGACGGGTACATGTGCAGGGAATACAGCCTCATCCAGGCTGAGCAGCCACGGGCAGTTGCACGAGACAGATCCTGGACAGTGTGTCTGTGGGTACTGGGCCTCTCCTGGACAGACAGGCAAGTGTGGGACTGCGGGGTGGAGGGTCGGGAGCACCTGTGCATCTCAGCGACAGGCAGATCCACGCAGCCCTGTCCTGCGGCCTCCCTAAGCCTCCATTCCCTTCTGTAACGCAAGGTGATGGCCCAAGACACAGCACACTGGACAGCAGAGGACACAGTATCAGCGTACTGGACCACAGTCACCTGGCCAGTCCCGGAAGATGGACCTCTGCAGGTCCTCCCCAGCACACTGAGGCCCGGCTCCTGAGACCCAGGCCGCGGCAGAGCTGAGGGTTGGGCTGCCTGGCTGGGCTGAGACCACCACCTCCTGACAGCTGGGGCCACTGCTCTGAGATGCTTGCTGAGCTTCCCCCACTGACCTTGGGCCCCTGACCTCCCCTCCTCATCTCCTTGACCCTAAGACACAAGAGCTCTGGGCCTCTGCAGGATCTGGCCTGGGCGAGGGAGAGGACTCTAGACACACACAGGGGGCCGCCGGCTGAGCCAGTGGCTACGAGGGTAGGGGTTTCCTGAACTGAACTTTAGGCTGCAAGGAGATTCTGGACCCCAGCACATCAGAAGCCTCAATGGCAGAACGTGAGGTCGTCTTCATGTGGTGCCCAGGGACCTCCAGGGATGAGGGGCCTGACACCAGCATTCCTGACCTCAGGGCCAGCAAGGGAGCTGGTCCAGGGGCCCCCAGGCAGGCTGGGAACATCTCTGGGCCTGGAGGAGCAGACTCTGGGTTCAGGTTGACAACGGGTTTCCAGCCCAGTGCCTGAAGATGGCGCTGACTGCCCTAAGCACAAAGTGAGCCAGCAGGGCCTGTGCACCCCAGGCGGAGCCGCTTCCACCCACTGGCTTTGCCTTCCTCCCCTGGATCTGCTGTGGGCCAGGCCAAAGAGGCAGGGCAACCCCACAGCACCAACACAGGCTCCACACTGCAACAAACTCTGACGGCACAGAACTGACCCACAGGATGCAGACAAGCTGGGTCAGTGCCACGTGCCCGTGGAGAAGGCAGCACGTGCCACACGTCCTCGGGCCAGACGAGGCGCCACTGGCTGACAGCGTACACACAAGCGTGCAGCCAGCGAGAGGCAGCAGGGACTAACCATGGCACATGAGAGTCCTCAGGGCAGACATGGGCAGTGGCAGGAGGACCCCAGGAGGGAAGTGGGGGGAGGGGCATGCCCACGGCCCAGCCCCTTGTAGAACTCACTCATAGAAGTGGGCCTTAGAGATGGACAGGAAGCTGCAGTCCCTGTTGGCCCTGATGGTGAACATGAGGGGCTCGCCTGTGAGCACGGCCAGCTGACCCACCATCTCCCCGGGGTGTGTGAGGAACAGGCAGGTGTCCTCCTCGCTGTCAATCTTCCGCTGGTACACGTGCAGCAGGCCCGAGACCACAAAGAGGATGTTGACATCCTAACAAAGCCAAGGGCAATGGCTCAGGGGTGGCGGGGTGACCCAGAGCCTTGTGGAGAATGCCCGGGATGGCCAGAGCTGGGCAGGGGTGGCCTGAGACATCATGGACCCAGGGCCCAGGCTCGGTCCCTGAGCCCCAGCGTGTGGCCAGCACTGGGCCCCACGCAGCTGTCGCTGTCTCTCTGTACAGTCCGCTGACACGGCCAGCCCTGGGCACAAGCTCTCACCGGGAATGCCCAGCAGTATCTGTGTTCTGACTGCATCATCATCCACCCCAGAACTTGTTTTTACAGATGCACCCACCTCCCCTTCCCATGCTTAACTGTTCCACACAGATACCGTCAGCCCAAGAGTCTCACAGAAGACAAAACAAACTCTCTTCTACACACCACATCTGGACCAGGCCTCTGAGGGTCTCCCTGCCTCAACCGCAGACCAACCCCTGACCCTTTCCATACCCTCGGTACCCTGCACACATCGCTCACATTCCTGTCCAACACCTGCAAATACACCCCAGGAACCAGTCTGGGGCTGATCCTGACTTGGACCCACCATGGGACCTCTTCCCAAATCTGCTCATCCTGCCCGAATCTCAGAGAGCAGAGGGCCGAGGCTTCAGGCACCAAGGTGGTGTGGCTGAAGCTGCTGGGGCTGTGGGCTGCCCTAGGGCAGGCTGTGTCTGGAGGGATGCTGCACCGTCCACTGTGTCTAGTGCAAGTCCAGGTTGAGCCCTAGCGAAGCTGCCATCCTCTGGGGCTCCTCTCAGCACTGGGCTACAACACTGGACAATCCCAGGGGCCACTCCCTGAGGACCAAGGCCTTCCACTTACCTGGTCCCCTTGTCTCGACACCACGGTGCCTGCAGGCACATGGAGAAGTGTCACCCGGCCATCCAGCAGGGAGGCGTCCTAGAACACAGAGCAGGCTTCAGGAAGAGACACTTAAGTGAAGGCAAAAGGGATGGAACCTGGGCCAAGAGCCACACACAACTGGGGGTCGAGGCTCTGCTCTGAGAGCTGCCCTGAGCACTGCCGTCCAGTCCTGGACTCGATGGACATCAGAACTCTCGGGGTAGTCCCAGCACAGGGACAGACAAGATGTGTAGAACGTAACGGAAAATACAGAAGTGAGCTCAATATTTTTGTCATTTTATGAGGAGACAGGCTGCATTTCAGGGAGAATGGATGCTGGTTTTAATGTGTGGCACTGGCATAGCAAGCTAGAGAACCAACTGGGATACCTTGTCCATACTCCTGTAAAAACCCCTTCCTACACACAATGCAGCCAGGGCAGGTTCAGCTGAACACCCAAGATGCTCCAGCAGACAACGGGAAGTCTTCCAATGAGCACCAACCAGAGAAACGCAAGGAGCCCCAGAGGAAAACACAGCCTGTAGGATAATCCCTTCAAAGGTCTGAAACATCAGAATGTTTAACTAGAGGTCACAGTGAAAGTAGAGCAAAAAGAAATGGAAAACTCATTGGTCATCCTGGGAAGATGAAGAGAAACCACGTCATTGATTCAAACCCCCCCAGTGCTGACGGCAAAGGGGCCTCAGGAAGGCATCAAAGGCTGTGACGCACCACACACTTACACTGCCTGGCAGGCAGCACAGCAAGGCTGGGGCCAGGGAGGGGCATGGAGGGGAGGAACCTGACCCGGCCCAGGTCCACCCGGCACGCTGCAGGGGGCAGCAAAGACTCACAGCAGCCAACTTCCCTCCCCAGAAGCCACCACTGACCTTGGCATCCCTAAAACAAGAAGCCGCGAGGAAAACACCTATGGGGGGAGAGGAGGAGAGGAGCCCTAAAGGGGCGCCCAGGAGAAACACATGCCCCTCACAATCATGATCTCAGTGGGGCTGCGAGAAACCTGGGTACCAAAAAGCAGCAGGAGACACTCCGGATTACTGTCAGACTGTTAGAACTGATAATGTCATGTTTAAAAACAGCCATGGCCAGGGGACGGTGCTGTGGAACAGCGGGTTAAAGCCCGAGCCTGCAGCACCAGCATCCTATATGGGCAACGGTTCGAGTCCCAGCTACTCCTCTTCTGATCCAGCTCTCTGCTATGACCTAGGAAAACAGTAGAAGATGGCCCAAGTCCTTGGGCCCCTGCACCCACGTGGGAGACCTGGAGGAATCTCCTGGCTCCTGGCTTTGGATCAGCTCATCTCTGGCTGTTGCAGTCATTTGGAGAGTGAACCAGTGGAATGGAAGACCTCTCTCCCTTTCTGGCTCTATCTCTCTTTGTTTTTTGTTTGTTTGTTTTGTTTGTTTGTTTGACAGGAAGAGTTAGAGAGAGAGAGAAAGAGAGAGAGAGAGAGAGAGAGAGAGAAAGGTCTTCCTTTTCCGTTGGTTCACCCCCCAAATGGCTGTTGCAGCCAGCGCGCTGCGGCCGGCGCACTGCGCTGATCTGAAGCCAGGAGCCGGGTACTTCCTCCAGGTCTCCCGTATGGGTGCAGGGCCCAAGCACTTGGGCCATCCTCCACTGCACTCCCTGGCCACAGCAGAGAGCTGGACTGGAAGAGGAGCAACCGGGACAGAATCCGGCGCCCCGACCGGGACTAGAACCTGGGGTGCCAGCGCCATAGGCAGAGGATTAGCCAAGTGAGCCGTGGCACTGGACTCTACCTCTCTTAATACTTTTCTTTTTTTTCTTTTCTTTTCTTTTTAATATTTATTTATTTGAAAGTCAGAATTACACAGAGAGAGGAGAGGCAGAGAGTGAGAGAGAGAGAGGTCTTCCATTCTACTGGTTCACTCCCCAACTGGCCACAACGGCCGGAGCTGCACCTATCGGAAGCCAGGAGCCAGGAGCCTCCTCTGGGTCCCCCATGCTGATGCAGGGGCCCGAGGATTTGGGCCATTTTTACTGCCTTCCCAGGCCACAGCAGAGAGCTGGATTGGAAGCGGAGCAGCCGGGTCTCGAACTGGCGCCCACGTGGGATTCCGGTGCTTCAGGCCAGGGCATTAACCTACTGGGCCACAGCAATGGCCCCAAATAAAATAAATCTTAAAAAAAAAAAAAAAAAGCCTTGTCCAAAGCAGGTAACTGGCCTAGCAATTAAGATACCCGTGGAACAGCTAGGGGCAGAGTGTTTGACTGCAGATCAAGATTCAAGATACTCATGGTCCCATATCAGAGTGCCTGGCTGGGGTCTTGGCTCCTATGTTCCTGTCCTCAGCATCCTGGCTAATGCCCACCCTGGGAAACAGTGATCACCGATGGCTCAAGTGCGTGGGAGACATGGATAAAGTTCCTGGCTCCAGACATTTGGGGAGTGAACCAATAGATGGGAGAGATCTCTGTCTATCTGCCTATCTCTGTCTCTCAAATAACTAAATTAATTAATTAATTAAAAAATGGCCCGTTACAGGACTGGCCTGTAGCGCCGGCATCCCATATAGGCACCAGTTCGATTTCTGGCTACTCCATTGCCAATCCAGCTCTCTGCTAATGTGCCTGGGATAGGAATAGAAGATGGCCCAAGTGCTTGGGTCCCTGCACCCACATAGGAGACCAGAAGCAGCTCCTGGCTACTGGCCTCAGCCTGGCCCAGCCCTGGCCATTACAACCATTTGGGAAGTGAACCAGCAGACAGAAGATCTGTGTCTCCCTCTCTCTGTGTCACTTTGCCTTTCAAATAAAATAATAATTTAAGGGCCCGGCGCCGTGGCTCACTTGGTTAATCCTCTGCCTGCAGCACCGGCATCCCAGATGGGCACCAGGTTCTAATCCCGGTTGCTCCTCTTCCAGTCCAGCTCTCTGCTGTGGCCCAGGAGTGCAGTGGAGGATGGCCCAAGTGCTTGGGCCCCTGCACCCACATGGGAGACCAGGAGGAGGCACCTGGCTCCTGGCTTCGGGTCGGCACAGCGCTGGCCGTAGTGGCCACTTCAGGGGTGAACCAATGGAAGGAAGACCTCTCTCTCTCTCTCTCTCTGTCTATAACTCTACCTTTCAAATAAATAAATCTTTAAAAAATAATAATTTTTAAAAAAGAAAGAAATTTTTAGAAACACATCAGCCAGCTGCAGGTATGGACCCTACAGAGACACTGATCGGTGCAGGAAAGGAGCTGTGAACAGAGTGCATGAGGCATCAGTGGTGGCCTTAACATTGCTCTTATGAGAGCAATAAGAACATGGCCCTGAATAAAAGAGCAACGTGTGAAAGGACACGGTGAAAATTTTCAGGCAGAAAATAACTGGGGGTTGGGGGGAAGGACTGGTTGTACAAAGGTGAGCCAGGCAAGGGTCACCACACGGGGCCATCCCTGCCACTTTTATCATGCTTGGAGCTGTCCATAATGAGTAAGAAAATCTAAAAATCTAGATAAACTGATGACCAAATATAAGAAAAATAATAAAAATATCAAAATGAAATAGAGAAAATAGCATAATAAAATATCCCGAAAATGTTATTGCTGGATTAAATACAACCTCCAACATTTTAAGTCTAATGAAGGAATTCAGAAGCCCACGTTCATGACTTCCGGGTGACCCAGAGAGCCTCAATCCCGGATCCTGGGTAGAGGATCTCAGATGCCGGCAGGGGCATGGATATGGTGTCCTGGACTGCAGGCAGTGCTGGGATCTTGGCAAAAGCAGACACCAGGGCCGCACTGTGGTGTAACCGGTTAGACCCTTGCCTGTGATGCTGGCATCCTATATGGGCACCGGTCCAAGTCCTGAGTCTTGACCGTTCCACTTCCAATCCAGCTCCCTGCTAATGACTTTGGAAAGCAAAGAAAGACGGGAGACCCAGCCTTGGCCGTTGTGGCCTTTTAGGCAGTGAACCAGTGGACGGGAGATCTCTCTCTGTCTCTCTCTCTTCTAACTCTTTCAAATAAATAAATAAATCTTTACAAAATTAAATAAATCTTAAAAAAAAAAAAAAAAGCAGAGATGGTTTCTGGAGAGGACAACATCTTCTTGAGCCTGTGACGTCTCAGACAAGCATGGGGGCACTGACCAGTAGTAAACGGCATCAAGATATCAAGGCCCAGCAGGGGCAAGACTGCGAGTGAGAGCTGCAGGGACTAAGGCAAGCACAAGACAGCCAGCGTCCACTCTGGGGGGCAGCAGGTGAGACTCCTGATTTCCACCTCGCCCAGCCCAGCCGCTGTGGGCATTTGGGGAAAAAAAACACAAGATGGGAGATTACTCTCTCTGTCTCTTGCCTTTCAAGTAAATAAATACACATTTAATAAAAAGAACTCAGTGCATAAGTTTAACATCACATCAGATGCAATAAAATGAAAGTTGGTGAATCCAAATGAAAATATCTACATTCAAATATAGGGATTTTTTACTGAAAACACAGAAGAAAGGGTGAGAGTTGGAGAAATGGGGACATTCATCTGAGTCTCAGAAGGGGAGAGGAAACAGGCAGCGCTTCACAGAGATGCTGCCAGTTTTTCAAAAGGGATTCAGCGGCACAGTCTGAGGATGCCTAACGACTGTGCAAGAAAGTGAAGAGGGGGGCCTGCACTGTGCACAGGTAAAGCCACCGCCCTGCAGTGTTGGCATCCTATATGTGCGTCGGTTCGAGTCGTGGCTGCTCCACTTCTTTTTTTTTTAAGGACATTTTTTCCAAAGATTTATTTATTTATTTGAAAGAGTCATATAGAAAGAGGAGAGGGAGAGAGAAAGAGGGGTCTTTCATCCGCGGGTTCACTCCCCAACTGGCTGAAACAGCGGGAGCTGCGCTGATCCAAAGCCAGGAGCCAAGAGTTTCTTCTGGGTCTCCCAAGTGGGTGCAGGGGCCCAAGGACTTGGATCATCTTCTACTGCTCTCCCAGGCCACAGCAGAGAGCTGGATTGGAAATGGAGCAGGCGGTACTTGAACCAATGCCCATATGAGATGCTGGCACTGCAGACGGCGGCTTTACCTGCTACGCCACAGCGTCGGCCCCTGCTCCACTTTTGATCCAGCTCTCTGCTAATGGCCTGGGAAAGCAGTAGAAGATGACCTAAGTCCTTGGGTCCCTGCACCCATGTAGGAGACCCGGAAAAAGCTCTGGGCTCCTGGCTTCAGATCAGCTCAGCCCTGGCCGTTTGGGGAGTGGCCATTTGGCGAGTGAACCCATAGATGGAAGACCTCTCTCTCTCTCTCTTTCTCTCTCTGTGCCTCTGCCTCTGTAACTCTGCCTTTCAAATAAATAAATAAATAAATCTTTGAAAAAAAAAAAAAAAAGAAGGACTCCATATCCAGCTCCAGGCCCAGAGTCAAGACAAGGAAATCCCTTAGAAGCAGCAAGACCAGCAGGCAACTTCTCAGTGCAGCCCCAGGAGCCAGAGGGAGCTCCACGGCCACCACGGCCCTCCCTCAGCCTGGGAGCCAGAGGGAGCTCTACGGCACCCCGCCCCCCAGCCTGGGAGCCCTGCACAGACCCTTCCAGAGAAAGGCAGCAGCAGGAGCAGGACTCACCCACAACCACCAGGACCCCTCTGACCGCGTGGCTGCAGCTGCACACGGCACACATGCAGACCCCGGTCGGAAAACTCCCAAAACCACACATCAGCCCGTGCTTGTGGCATGCGTGCTGCCAGGGTGTCGAGCGTGGTGCAGGCGAGCTGCCTGGTTTTCCTTCCCACCCTCATCCCCCAAAGTGGATCCAAGGGCTAACTCAATCAAGGTCGCGTGCCACACTGTGCCATGGGTGTGTATGACAGAAACTTCAAGAACCAATTCTCTTGGGGCCGGTGCTATGGCACAGAGGGTTAACGCCTTGGCCTAAAGCGCCAGCATCCCATATGGGCGCCGGTTCAAGACCCAGCTGCTCCACTTCCGTGAACCAGAGGATGGAAGACCTCTCTCTCTCTCTCTCTCTGCCTCTCCTCTCTCTGTGTAATTCTGACTTGCAAATAAATAAGTAAATTAAAAAAAAAAAAAAGAACAAATTCTAATTCTCTCTTCTCAGCAGATGGCTGGGAACAGAAGCCCCAGGAGCTGGAGAAGGTGAGAGGACACAGCTGCCCTGTCCAGGAAGCCAAGGTGAAGCTCACCAAGGTTGCAAGAGGGCTGCAGCAGACGAGGCTCTCGACAGGGGACAGGGCGGTGGAGCAGACGGGGGATGGGGACGGGGTGGAGCAGCAGGCGGGGGATGGGGACGGGGTGGAGCAGGCGGGGGATGGGGACGGGGTGGAGCAGCAGGCGGGGGATGGGGACGGGGTGGAGCAGCAGGCGGGGGATGGGGACGGGGCCATTTCCAGAATTCACGCTGGATGGGGTTGGGGTGGTGGAGCACAAGAACGGACTGGGAAATGCCCTGCCGAGCGCCCGTGGAGTTAAGTCCGGCTAACATCATTCCAAGGTCGTTATTTTACTCCGTGTCTTCATCTCCCAGCTCGCTCTTCGTGGAGTAGGTGGGTTATGGTGACGTGCTTTGGTTTCGCAGGCGGTCTATGGGGACGGGGTGGAGCAGCAGCAGGAAGCTCAGACTTTCCACAGGGGACCTGGGGCCAACCCGGGTCACACGAGGGAAAAAACACATAATTGGATACCATTATACACGAAAATTCATAGTATCTGCATTAACACCCAAGAAAGCAAAATAGAAAACTTTTAGGCAACATCGAGAGAATCTTGAGTGTCGCTCCCCCTCTTCATGGCGGAACGACACTAAGCCCTGCCTAGGCTTCATATCCGAGTCACGGCACCATTATGTCGCTCCCCGTCTTCGTGGAGGAACGACACAGGACCCTGCGCTGTTCTTTTGTCTGCTCGGCCCTCCCCAGCTTTGCTGCTGGTTCTTCCCGGGTTGGCTACCGACCCTTCCACCTCCGTGGAAGGGCAGTTCCCCCTGGCCACTTTCCCCACTTCCGCAGGGGAGCGGCACACCGCCGGCCGGCTCTCTCGGGGGCTGCACAGGTGTTCCTTCAGATAGATGTTCCTGGTGCATGTTGTCTCTCTCCTCCTTTATAGTCCTCTTCCACCAATCCCAACTCTGCTACCCACACGCCGAGTACGCTGCTCTCCTCCAATCAGGAGCAGGTCCTGCTGTTTATTGGTTGAACTGGAGGCAGCTGTGTAGAAGCTGTTTCCTCCCTTCTCAGCGCCATATTGTGGGAGCGCAGATGCATAGAATAAGTCTTAATTTCAGTAACAGTCTAGTCCAAGTTGCTCCCTACACTTGAGATCAGAGCAAGGGAATGTTTCTGAGGCGAGGCACGGGCACAGAGGGAGAGACGGATGCGCTTCGCTCCTTTGCAAGCAGGAACCGCGGCCCGGCCCGGGAAGCAGAGCAGGAAGCCTGGAGCCGCATATCACTGCACACAGCAAAGGATCGCGGCCGGCCCCACAGAGAACCCTGAGACCCAGAGGGAAAATACGGCTCCCTCGGGAAAGGGAGAGGGTTCAACCCCAGGCTTCCTCAGAGCAGTCCCCAAAAGGCAAACGAAAGCAAGCGTGACAGGCGCTCCCTACCCAGCACTGTTGCCCAAAGCTACCAAGTCCAGAAATCCTGGCGGCTGGCAGCGGCACTGGCCAGGAGCCCTCGGCAGCTCCTGGCGGTACACTGATGGAGACACCCCCACAGCCTGGCACCCCATGCCCTGGACACGCTGGCCTGGGCAGGACAACGAGCAGAGTGGACCCTTGACAGTGATGATAATGATAACCACGGGCGACTCTCAAGGGCACCTCGCCAGGCGGACAGCGATCACTCAGAATAACACGTGGCAGGAGTTGTTCATAGAAACCCAAGAACAGGCAAAAGTCAACCAGGGCACCTGGACACACTCGCCGACACAGGGTGGCTGCCTCTGGAGCAGCAGCCAGGGCCTCAGAGGGGGGTGCCGTGAGTTGTTCCAGAGCTGTTTGCTTCTGCACTACCTTTTTTTTTTTTTTTTTTTTTTTTTTTTTTTGACAGAGTGGACAGTGAGAGAGAGAGACAGAGAGAAAGGTCTTCCTTTGCCGTTGGTTCACCCTCCAATGGCCGCCGTGGCCGGCGCACTGCGGCCAACGCACCACGCTGATCTGAAGCCAGGAGCCAGGTGCTTCTCCTAGTCTCCCATGGGGTGCAGGGCCCAAGCACTTGGGCCATCCTCCACTGCACTCCCAGGCCACAGCAGAGAACTGGCCTGGAAGGGGGGCAACCGGGACAGAATCCGGCACCCTGACCGGGACTAGAACCCGTAGTGCCGGCGCCGCTAGGTGGAGGATTAGCCTATTGAGCCGCGGCACCGGCCGCTTCTGCACTACCTTAACTTGGCGGCTTCGCGGGTACTCACTGTCTCCACCTTGTGGATGTGAAATATTCACAATTGTGAAAAATGTGAGACAAAGAATACATAAGACATAAGTGACAAAGGCCTGCTCAGGAGTGCCCGGGCCATCTGAGGTCTTACTTGGCTTGGCCACCAGGGAACTGGCAGGCACATTTGCTTTGCACCTGCACGCTGGAGTGGGGAGGGGACACCTGGACCCACGTCACACACCAGGAAGGCACCAGGTGAGAGGTTCTTCCAGGGGACTCCCTTTGTAGCAACCGCTCCCTACTGCTGGGAGATGGAAAGGAAGAAGCAGAGTCTAAGAGGGACAGCAGGACCCGCTCTCTCAGAGCCATTCACTCACCGTCAGCTTCATCAGGGCGAGCAGGGCCTTCTTGGCAGCTCTGAAGATGGTGTCTGTCTCGCCGCTGGTGCCAGTCTCATCTGAGAGACCCTCTGAGTAGTGGCAGACAGCAGAGGGGGTCTCTGCCACCATCACACTTTTCTTGAACTTGAGAACAAACATACCGGTGGTCAGAGGGCTGACTGGGGGAACACACGTGAGGTGCAACCTGCTGACAGACTGTAAATGCTGGGCAATGCCAGAGTGAGTGGGCAGAGGGCGGAGCCCTGGAGGAAGAGGAAGAGTCGTGGAACCCTACCTTGCCAGCCACGGAGTTCCTGGGGCGCTCCTCAGAGTGCAGCAGGACCCTGGCACGGTCGCACGCCATTCCCAGGTCTGAGGTGGCCCCGGCCAGAAGCCCTGCCAGCAGAGGGAACACTCAGCCCGCTGCCCACTGATGCACAGACCCTGAGCACGGGCTCTGCACCCAGTGCCTGGGATATAAGGCCTGGGTCTCTGGAGAGCAAGGCTATGTCCCCAGCAAATTCTTTTATGAACTGCAACTTTTTGGCCCAGCAAATCTGAAGGCCAAGTGTCATGGAATCTGACCTGGACTCTGACAAAGGACCCAAGCTGTCTCTGGGTCACACATGTCTGGATTTGAATTGGGTTCGGGAAACAACCTTATATGCCATGATCTCAAACACCAAAATCCCACAAGATTAAGATATTGCAAATATAAATCTTGAAAGAATAACTTAAAATCTTTTATTTAGAAGATATTTGTAGGCCGGCGCCGTGGCTCACTAGGCTAATCCTCCGCCTAGTGGCGCCGGCACACCGGGTTCTAGTCCCGGTCGGGGCGCCAGATTCTGTCCCGGTTGCCCCCCTTCCAGGCCAGCTCTCTGCTATGGCCTGGGAGTGCAGTGGAGGATGGCCCAAGTCCTTGGGCCCTGCACCCCATGGGAGACCAGGAGAAGCACCTGGCTCCTGCCATCGGATCAGCATGGTGCGCTGGCCGCAGTGCGCCGGCTGTGGTGGCCATTGGAGGGTGAACCAACGGCAAAAAGGAAGAACTTTCTCTGTCTCTCTCTCTCTCACTGTCCACTCTGCCTGTCCAAAAAAAAAAAAAAGGTTCAAAAAAAGAAGATATTTGTTGGGGGCTGGCATTGTGTGGCCCAGTGGCTTAAGCCACTGCTTGTGATATTAGCATCCCATACAAGTCCCAGCTGTTCCACTTCCGATCCGGCTCCCTCCTAACGTGGCTAGGAAAGCAGTGGAAGATGGACCAAGTGCCTGGGCCCTGTGCCCACATGGGAGACCCAGATGGAGCTCCTGGCCTTGACCTGGCCCAGCCCTAACTGTTGCAGCCATTTGGGGAGTAGACCAACGATGGAAGGTCTCTGTTTCTCTCTCTGTTGCTCTGCCTTCCAAATAAATAAACATTAAAAAAAAAAAAAAAACACTTAAAAAAAGAAGCCAAGAAAATCTAAAAAGAAAATTTAACTGAGAAAAAGTTATGGCAGGATCAGACTGGGCGACTGCATGGAGGCAGCCATGAGTGCCAGCGCTTGCCACCGTCAGATGTGCTTGAGGTCTTGCATCGTGAAGAGCAGTGGGCAGGGCTGTCCTTGGAAGACTCCCGTGTTCATTGTCTATGCCACATCACTCTTCAAAATTCTTCTATGATTTGATAACACACCGACATGAGCATCCCCTGTACCTTGTCCACAGGCTGTGCTGTGTCACACAGAAGCCATTCCATACACACACCCCAGACAGGCACTAGATTCATCAGGGTGTGGTGACTGTACCTTGTGTTTCAATAAAACACAAAAAAGTAAAATATGTGAGCCAACCTCACTGACTAAACCCAGCCTCCAGCAGGCACAGACAGCTGGCATAAGAACTATATGTAAACTTCAAGTAGTTGGAATGCCTAGGTTTTAAATTTTTTCATTTATTTATTTAAATTATTTGAGATACAGAGAGACAGAGACAAAGAACTCCCATGCAAAGTTCACTCCCCGAGTGCCCAAACAGCTAGGGCTTGGCCAGGCTGAGCCAGCAGCCAGGAACTCAGTCCAGGTCTCACCTGTGGTAGGCAGAAGCCAATTACTAAAGCAGCACCTGCTGCTTCTCAGGTGCATATCAGCAGGAAGCTCGAATTGGAAGAAGAGCCAGGACTTAAGCCCAGGTAGCATCTTAACCACTAAGCCAAAATCTATTTTGTACCCCAATATCTATTCCAATAATAAAATCTAATCATATACCCAGTGATTAAAAATACATGTATAGATTATATATTTAATATTTTAATTTATTAAATCTTAAAATTTAAAATTGATTTAATATTTCAACAGGATGCTGTTACATAGTTTACAAAACTTAAAATGTTCAGTCTCTGATTTTTCCCAAAAACATGCCCTTCTTTAAAAAAAGATTTATTTATTTATTTATTTATTTGAAAGGCAGAGGCAGAGGCAGAGAGAGAGAGGGAGGGAGGGAGGGAGGGAGAACATGGGCAGAAAATACTTTCAAGGGGCCGGTGCTGTGTTGCACTGGGTTAACCTACCACCTACAATGCCAGCATCCCATATAGGCACCAGTTACTGTCCTGGCTGCTCCACTTCCAATCCAGCTTCCTGCTTATGTTCCTGGGAAAAGCAGCAGAAGAGGACTCAAGTGCTTGGGCCCCTGCTGCCCATGTGGAGACCTGGATGAAGCTCCTGGCCTGACCCGGCCCTGGCCGTTGCAGCCATCTGGGGAGTGAACCAGCAAATGGAAGACCTCTCTCTATGTGTCCCTTCTTCTCTCTCTCTGTAATTCTTTCAAATAAATAAATCTTTAAAAGAGAGAGAGAGACAGACCAGGGGAGGATCTGAGACAAAAGGGATGCCTGATGGAGGGCATGGGGTTTCTTCACTAGGTGATGAAATGTTCTGGACTCAGATGGCAGCGAGCAATGCACAATTCTGCAGTTGTGTTGGAATGAGGCTATTTTATTTATTTAATTACTTTTAAAGATTTATTTATTTGAAAGGCACAGTTACAGAGAAAGAGAGTGAGCGAGCGAGCGCCAGGTCTTACATCTGCTTATTCACTCCCCAAATGGCCACAAGGACCAGGAGCCAGGAGCCAGGAGCTTCTTCCAGGTCTCCCATGGGGTGCAGGGGCCCAAGCACTTGGGCCATCATCCTCTGCCGCTTTCCCAGGCCACTAGCAGGGAGTTGGATGGAAGTGGAGCAGCCAAGGCAGGAACTGGTGCCCATATGGGATGCTGGTGCCACAGGCAACAGCTTTACCCACTTTGCCACATCGCTGGCCCTGGAATGGGGGCTTTGTAGGAGGGTGAAAATTAAGGTATGCGGATTTTATCTCAGGAAAGCAGCTAACTTGGGACTAGCATGGTGCAGCGGGTTCAACCACTTCTTGAGTCACCAGCATCCCATACTGATTCCCGCTGCTCCACCTGGAAAGCAGATACTGCACCTGGAAAGCAGATGATGGCCCTAGGAGACCACTCTTGCTCTCCCTCTCTATCACTCTACTTATTGTATAAATAAATAAATATGTAAAAGTAAAGAAAGCGAACAAGCACTTACTTAAAAAAAATTCATGTAGCTTCAGAAACCTGACACCTAAAAAAAGCACCAATAACGATGAAATGAAAGACTGTTGTGTAGTGGTGCTGGGTGAATTGTCTCTATATAGAACAAGAAAAAATGACCTTCTTCCCTCACAAATACACTTCCTACTGCTGGACTTCAGGAGTGAACTTTGGGTGAGTGAATGATCTCAAAGTAGGAGATAAAACTGGGGCCAGTGCTGTCGCACAGCAGGTTAGGTTGCTGCCTGTGATGCCAGCATCCCACATGGGTGATGGTTCAAGTCCCGGCTGCTCCACTTCTGATCCGGCTCCCTGCTAATGCAACTGGGAAAGCAGCAGATAGAGTACCAGGCTTCTGGCTTCAGCCTGACCCAGAGCTGGCTCAGCCCCAGCTGCTTCAGTCATCTGGGGAGTGAACTAACGAATGGAAGATTGATCTCTCTCTCTCTCTCTCTCTCTCTCTCTGCAACTCTGACTTTCAAAAAAAATAAATAAATCTTTAAAAAAATAAAAAAGAAAGATAAAACTAAGAGCAACAGAAAAGTTTAGAGTAATACATTCATGACCCAGGAACGAGGAAAGAATAAGTAAGACCCAGACCACAGAGGCAGCAGAGGCATCTGCAGCAGCTGATACTGACCAGGGATCTGGGAGCACCTGCAGGGGCTGAGAAGAGCCAGGAGCCATGCAGGACGAAGAGTAAAGTGAGAGGAACCCTGCTGCCCGGGGCCCAGGGGCCCAGGGGCCCAGCGTGGGTAGCACACAGACACAGAGTGCTTGCCACACACAAAGGCCCCTTGGGAAGGTGCATGTCAGCCACAGTGAGGAAGGAGCCGACCAAAGTCATGGGGGAAGCAAGGAGCTGAGAATAAGGGTGAGCAGCAGGGAGGACAGGAGGGGCCATGCGGGTACCCTGGGTGCGAAGTGGGCAATGGCTGAGGGGACAAGCTAAGCCTGTCACTGTGAGATGGGACCTGACCTAGGGAGGGGCCAGTGGTGGAGAGAGGAGGGACAGGTGCTCAGACACAGGCCCAGGGCAGGGGGTAGGGGGATGCAGGGGAGACAGAAACCTGCAGATACAGGCCAGGCAGCATGGCTGACTTGCCCTGGGTGAAATGCGTGGTATGGAGAGGAACCCTCAGGGCATTTAGGGCAGCACAACACGTGCCCTCACCAAGGCATCAACTCAGAGCAAAAGGCAGGCAGAGGCCCTACAGGGCCCACGGGCTGCTTCCCTCTATAATGGGACCATCCTCAGGGTACCCACCCCTAAGGTTGTTGCAGAAGATGACGCTGGGTGCCAGGGCAGCTCAACCCATTCCACACATATACAGCCTCAGCAATACTGCTGGAGAGCAACAAGAGTAATTACCTTGTGGGGCCAAAGGGTCACGGTCACCTGCCTGGGACTTCCCGAGCTCCTCTAAGATCTCTTCATGGACAGAAGGTAGAGGGAAGGAGTGGCTCCTCTTCAGCAGAGGCCCATATGCTGCCAGACGGCTGCCTCCACCATCTACTAGGGGGAGAGAGTTGTGAGCCAACCTCAGTCCCCCACACTCTGTCCAGCTCCAACTCACAGAGGGGGCAGCTCAAGGAGCAGGGTCCCCCCAGCAGAACACAGTCTGCAAGTCTCCAGGCCCAGAGACAGCCTTCAACAGTGCCCTATGCACCTGCAAACAGTCCCTGACACGGCCATGCAGGCTACCTCAACAGCTGCACCTGCCTGGCCCGCATTTTCCACCTGCCAGGTGAGTGATGAGCCAATGCTGGCCTAAGACTTGTCCTACTCTGCTTCCCTACCAGCCTGTGTCCCTCCTTGAGACCCCTCCCCACAAGGCCTCCCTGAGCTGACTGCCCCAGCACCATGAGGTTAAACTCCTATTCCAGGTCAAAGCTGACACTGTCCCTTTCTCAGTGGCGTTGAGCTCACCAGGAACAGACAATACAAGGCTTCAGTGCTCCACCTGCCCCTCAGGTGAGATGAGTCTAAACTAGGCTTCCAGAGAAGGCCTTGCCTTGCCCAGCATACAGGACAGACGCTGTCCTCACCAGGACTCTCTGCTTATCCAGAGCCCATTAACTTTCCCCAGCCTGGCCTCAGCTACGACCAGTCTGGCCAGCTGCTCTGTGCCCATCAGGACAGGCTCCTAGGCCCTATCACTCAACAGTGACCAGAAATGCAGGTCAGAGGTAGAAATGGTGAAATGATATATACTCCAGAGTACACTCCGGGAAAACCAGCTCAGCCAGAGAGCAAGTGTTCAAGGTCACTGGAGTCCAGAGCTTCAGAGCTTCCTCCAAGGATGGCCTAGGGGTGCTGGGATATAGGGTTCTGAGCACTAGTCAGTCTAGGCGGGTGCCTATCTGCTTGTGCTGCATCCACTTAGAACACTTTATGCTACAAGTGCATACAAGGGCATATGTTCTCTGTGGCCACACAGGTCACTAGAGACAATCCAGGTACTGCAGGCCTCGCTAGCAAGACCTTCCTGAGAGCTCAGAGTACTAGGGTCAATGCACAAGGCTAGGAACCTTCTCCTTATGCAGGAATTCCCCCTGTGTCAAGCCCTGTGAGCAGCCTGAGGCAAACAGCTGCAGAGTGGAGGGCACAGCACCTGCAAGGTGACCAGAGTGCCAGGGAGGTGATGTGGGGGTGCACGATGAGACAACCTGAATACGTGTGAGATGACCTGGGTATGTGAGGTGACCTGGGACATGTAAGGAGACCTGGGTATGTATGTGAGGTGACCTGGGTGTGTATGTGAGGTGACCTGAGTATGTATTTGAGGTGTTCTGGGGCACATGTGAGATGACCTGGGTGTATATGAGGAGACCTGGGTCTGTATGTGAGGTGACATAGGTGTGTATGTGAGGTGACCTGGGTGTGTATGTGAGATGTTCTGGGGCACATGTGAGGTGATCTGGCTGTGTATGTGAGGTGACCTGGGTGCATGTGAGGAGACCTGGGTGTATGTGAGGTGACTGGGTGTATTCAAGGAAACCTAGGTGTGTATGTAAGGAGACCTGGGTGTATGTGAGGAGACCTGGGTGTATGTGAGGTGACTGGGTGTATTCAAGGAAACCTAGGTGTGTATGTAAGGAGACCTAAGTGTGTATGTAAGGTGACTTAGGCATGTATGTGAGGTGACCTGGGTGTGTATGTGAGGTGACCTGAGTATGTATTTGAGGTGTTCTGGGGCACATGTGAGATGACCTGGGTGTATATGAGGAGACCTGGGTCTGTATGTGAGGTGACATAGGTGTGTATGTGAGGTGACCTGGGTGTGTATGTGAGATGTTCTGGGGCACATGTGAGGTGATCTGGCTGTGTATGTGAGGTGACCTGGGTGCATGTGAGGAGACCTGGGTGTATGTGAGGTGACTGGGTGTATTCAAGGAAACCTAGGTGTGTATGTAAGGAGACCTGGGTGTATGTGAGGAGACCTGGGTGTATGTGAGGTGACTGGGTGTATTCAAGGAAACCTAGGTGTGTATGTAAGGAGACCTAAGTGTGTATGTGAGGTGACTTAGGCGTGTATGTGAGGTGACCTGGGTGTGTATGTGAGGTGACCTGAGTATGTATTTGAGGTGTTCTGGGGCACATATGAGATGACCTGGGTGTATATGAGGAGACCTGGGTCTGTATGTGAGGTGACATAGGTGTGTATGTGAGGTGACCTGGGTGTGTATGTGAGGTGAGTGGGTATGCATGTGAGGTGACCTACGTGTGTATGTGAGGTGACCTGGGTGTGTATGTGAGGTGACCTAGGTGTTTATGTGAGGTGACTGAGTGTGCATGTGAAGTGACCTAGGTATGCATGTGCGGTGACTGGGTGTGTATGTGAGGTGACCTAGGTGTTTATGTGAGATGACTGAGTGTGTATGTGAGATGACTGGGTGTGTATGTGAGGTGATCTAGGTGTTTATGTGAGATAACTGGGTGTGCATGTGAGGTGACCTAGGTATGCATATGAGGTGACTGGGTGTGTATGTGAGGTAACCTGGATGTATATGTGAGGTGACCTAGGTATATATGTGAGGTGACTGGGTGTATGCAAGGAGACCTAGGTGTATATGTGAGGAGATCTAGGTGTGTATGTGAGGAGACCTAAGTGTGTATGTGAGGTGACCTAGGTATGTATGTGAGGAGACATAGTTGTGTATGTGAGGTGACTTAGGTGTGCACTTGAGGTGACCAGGGCATGTGAGGAGACCTAGGTGTATATGAGGTGACCTGGGTATGTATGTGAGGAGACCTGGGTATATGAAAGGAGACCTAGGTGTATGTGAGGTGACCTGTGTGTGTATGAGGTAACCTAGGTGTGTATGTGAGGTGAGCTAGGTGTGTATGTGAGGTGAGCTGAGTGTAATTGTGAGGTGACTGGGTGTGTTTGTAAGGTGACCTGGGTGTATGTGAGGTGACCTAGGTATATGTGTGGTGACCTAGATGTGTATGTGAGGTGACTTGGTATGTATATGAGGTGACTGGGTATGTATGTGAGGTGACCTGGGTGTGTATGTGAGGTGATCTAGGTGTGCATGTGAGTGACTAGGGCATGGGATGAGACCTAGGTGTATATGTGAGGTGACCTGGGAGTGTATGTGAGGTGACCTAGGTGTATATGTGAAGTGACCTGGGTGTGTATGTGAGGTGACCTGGGTGTGTATGTGAGGTGACTGGGTGTATGCAAGGAGACGTAGGTGTGTATGTGAGGTGACCTGGGTGTGTATGAGGTGAACTGGGTATGTATGTGAGAAGACCTGGGTGTATGTGAGGTGACTGGGTGTGTAAGTGAGGTGACCTAGATGTGTATGTGATGTGAGCTAGGTATGTATGTGATGTGAGCTGGGTGCATGTGAGTTGACCTGGGTGTGTACGTGAGGTGACCTGAGTATGATGTGAGGTGACCTGGGGGGTTCATGAGTCCACATGCAGCAGTGGATGGGAGAGGCCCTAGATCTGGCTTGAAGGTCACCCTCCTTGGGTCTGGGTCTTACCTGAGTCACAGGACTCTCGCTCATCCAGGGCATGGAACATCTGCCTCTTGGCTTTCCCGGCAGACAGGAGAGGTATGGCCTGGCTCTCCTAGGATGCGAAAACAACATCAGTTCTGCACCAGGACCTTCCCCAGTTCCCTCCACAAAGGTTCACCATTCTGAAGTGCAAAGTCCTCAAAGAAAACTTCAAGGTAGCTTTCAGGGAATGAGAATAGACCAATAGTCAATTAGGAAATCTGGTTAGGTGAGAAAGGTCTGGCCATGTTGAGGCATCACCATAGGCTCTGTCTGAAGCACTCTACCATTGATAAAAACAAACTATCCATTGAGGTGAAAACTGTCTTTCAGCACCTGATGATGACAAACCCTAAGACAGTGTCCAAACAGGGGGACTGCCCAAGCAAGGCGAGAACACTGGCAACCAGCATGGTACCACAAGGGGCCATGGTCTTAGAGGAGGATCCAGCCCTAACTCATCAACTACCACCTGCATCAAGGCAAAGAAATAAACACCGACCACCTGTCACTCCCAAAGTACAAAGTCCTCATGGCCAACAACCAGGACAGCCAGAGTTGTGGCTGGTGCTGCTCTGCCCATCCTACCCAGCCCCAGCAGTGGGGTGCCCCGTACCCACAGTCGCATACAAAGGCAGGGCTCCCGAGGTGGTGCCACACTCACAGGATTGAAGAGCTCGGTGGTCAGGCCTAGATGGTTGTGCAGAGCCAGGAGGGTCACTCTCTGCAGCCGCACCATGATGATCTGTAAGACGTCTGGCAGTGAGCCACCCACAGGCTGTACAGCGGCCCCCTACGCCGCACTGGGAGCCAGGCCCCACTCCCCAGACAAACCAAGCTCTCTTGGAGGATTCTCCCAGGGTGGAAATACATCTTAGTCTCCACAACTCACTGTGGCAACAAAAGATGTGAACGTCCGGTGAATGGGATGCAGTACAAATGGGAATTCTGCATTATTTTTGCAAGTTTTCTGTGAAGTTAAAATTAGAAGTCTACTAAAAATGTGAAAAATCTCTTGTGGGCAAGTGGGAGATCTGAATATCCCTTTGGGGTTATCAGTATTTGTTCTTAGTGTAAAATACTCATTACAAAGGCAAGCATGTAGCATAGCAGGGACACCTGCATCCCATACTAGAGAGCCTGGTTCAAGTCACAGCTAGTCCATGTTTCCGATCCAGCTTCCTGCTACTGTGTCCAGGAAGGCAGTAGAAGGTGGTCCAAATATCTGGGCCCCTGACACCCATGTGGGAAACCAGAATGGAGTTCCCAGCTGTTGGCGTTGGCCTGGCCTAGGCCTGGCTGTTGTGAAAATTTGGGGAGTGAACCAGTGGCATTCTTGCTCTCGCGCTCTCTCTCTCTCTTCCACTTGCCTTTCTAATAAATAAATAAAATTTTTAAAAATAAATAAAATACATATTACAAATTTATTTTTTTTTAAATTTTTTGACAGGCAGAGTGGACAGTGAGAGAGAGAGAGAGAGAGAGAGAGAGAGAGAGAGAGAGAAAGGTCTTCCTTTTGCCGCTGGTTCACCCTCCAATGGCCGCCGTGGTCGGCGCGCTGCGGCAGGCACACTGCGCTGATCCGATGGCAGGAGCCAGGTGCTTCTCCTGGTCTCCCATGGGGTGCAGGGCCCAAGTACTCGGGCCATCCTCCACTGCACTCCCTGGCCACAGCAGAGAGCTGGCCTGGAAGAGGGGCAACCGGGACTAGAACCCACTGTGCCGGCGCCGCAAGGCGGAGGATTAGCCTAGTGAGCCGCGGCGCCAGCTACAAATTTATTTTAAAAACAGCCTTGGGGGACCGGCGCTGTGGCGTGGCTGGTAAGGCTGCTGCCTGCACTGCTGGCATCCTATATAGGCTCCGGTTCAAGTTCTCGCTGCTCCACTTCTGATCTAGCTCTCTGCTATGGCCTGAGAAAGCAGTAGAAGATGGCCCAAGTCCTTGGGCCCCTGCAACTGCATGGGAGACCCAGAAGAAGTTCCTGGCTCCCGGCTTTGGATCAGCGCAGCTCCGGCCATTGCGGCCAAATGGAGAGTGAACCCAGCGAATGGAAGACACCTCTTTCTCTCTGCCTCTCCTTCTCTCTCTGTGTAACTCTTAAAAAAAAAAAAAAAAGATTTTATTTATTTATTTGAGAGGTAGAGTTACAGACATGCGGGTGCAGGGGCCCAAGCACCTGGGCCATCTTCCACTGCTTTCCTAGATCATAGCAAAAAGCTGGATTGGAAGAGGAGCAGCCGGGACTAGAACTGGTGCCCACATGGGATGCTGGCACTGCAGGCGGAGGATTAACCTACTACACCATGGGGCTGGCCCCTAAATAAATAAACCTTAAAAACAAATCCAGCCTTGGAGCCAGCAGATAAAAGATCTTTCTCTCTCCTACCCCTTTTTGTTACCCTGCCTCTCAAATAAGTAAATAGGTCTTTACAAATAACTAAATTTAAAAAACAGTCTTATGGGGGCCAGCGTTGTGGCACAGCAGGGTAAGCCACCACTTGTAATACTGGCATCCCACGCTAGAGTGCTGGTCATGTCTGGGTACTCTGTACTTCTAATTCTGCTTCCTGCTAATAAGCCTGGGAGGCAGGGGATGGTGGCCCAGGTGCATGGGGCCCTGTGATTCACATGAGAGACCAAGATGGGGTTTTGGGCTCCTGGCTTCAGCCTGTCCCCAATCTGGCTGTTGCCAAATGAGCAATTGGAAGACCTCTCTCTCTATCTCTCTCTGCCTTTCAAATAAATATATCTCTTTCTTAAAAAAATAAATAAATAAAGCCTCAATTCATCCCATAGGCATCCAGAACCCCACATCAACAACAGTCAACTCACTGTTCTTCCAGATTCCTCTCCAGGGCTCTAAAACTCAGGACTGACAACAAACCCCAACAGACCCCAGGTCCTGGACCCAGGATGGCCCACAGCAGCCAGAAAAGTCGAGTGAAACAGTGACCTACCTGCACCACCCTCACCAGGGTTTCGGGATATTTCTCAAAAATGCCTTGAAAAGCCACAGCTGGAAGCCGGAGGATGGTGGAAGGGACAGCCGCACGGACAGAGACGGTTTTATACAGTACAGTGTGGCCCTGTAACAACAGATCTATCAGACTCACTCCTTGACCCTCCCAACACACACACACACACACACACACAGAGCTCTGGGAATCACTGAGCCCCTCAGAAGTCCCTGGGGAGGCCCTGGCCTCGTCCCCACCCACATGTTCTGTGCTCCCTCCCAGGCCAGGCCAGCAAATAGCACTGCTGTTGATGGAAACTGTACACAAAGGTTTATTGTCCCAGAGATGCACAGCCAGGGGCTGGCCAACGAAACACAGTGGGCAGCCCAGTCAAGTCATTCATGTGACAGTGACCAGGAACTGACCAGAGCCGTGGCCAACAGCATGTATGGGTCACCAGCTGAGGGACCAGCTCAGCAAGTGGACTTGGTGGACTGGGCTTCCCAGAGCTACGGGCAAAATCACCAAAGTCCCTACTAAATGGCTTTTGGTTTCTATCTTCTGGAGATTGGCAGGCACTTGAGAGAAGACAACTCTTTTTTTTTTTTTTTTTTTTAAGATTTTATTTATTCAGAGGCAGAGTTACAGAGAGAGGGAGACAGAGAGAAAAGTCTCCCATCCACTGGTTCAAATGGCTGCAACAGCCGGAGCTGGGCCATTCCGAAGCCAGGAGCTTCTTCCAGGTCTCCCACACAGGTGCAGGGGCCCAGGCACTTGGGCCATCTTCCATTGCTTTCCCAGGCACATTAGCAGAGAGCTGGATTGAAAGAGGAGCAGCTGGGACACGAACCAGATGCCGGTGCTGCAGGCAGAGGCTTAACTACTGTGCCACAGTGCCAGCCCTGGAAACTATTCTTTTAAACTGAGCCATTACTCACCTGCAGTAACATTTGCCCTTTATGGTGCACACCTTAGAATTCTGGCTGCCACCACACAAACAGAACAGCGCCGCCTGCAGATGTGCCCTTGTGGTCTCTTCCTGTCTCCTTTCCTTCTGCTGCTAGCTCCCCACAGCCCTCACCTGCCTTCTGTCCCCACGGTTTTGTCTTGTCAAAATGTCACACAAGCAGAATCAGGTGCTCTTGAGAGTCACCCATGTAGCTGGGTGCTCTGCATTCCTGAGTGCTTCCTGTTCAGGGACACATCTGTTTACTTGTACATTTGCAGTGAAGGACACATGGGTATATTCCAGTTTTGAGCAATTATAAAGTTGCTATAAACACACATAGAAAAGTCTTGTTGAATACAGCTCTCCTTGCTCTTGCTAAATACCCATAGTGAGTCTCCGAGGCCACAGCATAGGTGTACTCTTAACTCCACCAAAAGCTACCAACCACTCCACAGTTCTCACCAGCACCTGGAACATAATACATTTGTCTGGTCTATGTCTCAGTAAGTTCCTGAGTGACAGAAGCACCTCTGCTACTCACGGTGGGCCCCTCAGACTACATTTGAGTTTATGCTAACATGACTGGTGGCAGCAAGGCCCAAGACAGTTGCCAGGAAGGGCAGGCCGTGTTCAGAGCCAGGGGACACAGGCTGAACCTCTCGCCCCTGGGAAATAATCACCCTGTCAGGGCTGTCAGTCACACATACACAGTCCCTGAGCTCTGTCCAGGACGTCTCACACCAGAGGCGCTCCTAGACTCACCTGGGGCCTCTTCTGGTTGGTTCTGGTTTTTACCCTTAATTGTATACTTGTGCTTCCCTGAGGTCTGAGTTGTTCAGAGAATTACTGGATCTGAGGTGGCCATAGGAGCCCCTGAACTTGGAGCCCGTTGATCACAAGTGAGGTGGCCGGGAAGTCCCTAGCTCTCAGCTGAAGTGAGGGAAGACTTTGTGGGGGCTGCGCCCCTAACCTGAGAAGATGCAGTCCCAGTGGTGTCATGGTGTCCCTTGCAGCTATTCCAGCAGCTGCAGTGCATTTCCACTTCCTGAGGGCATCTTTCCATGTGACTGTCTGCCTGCCACCCACCCTTTCTAAACCATGGTGTCCTGGAAATGGTTTGTCTGGTTTTTGCCGGGTTTTGTTTCTCACAAGGTTCTGAGAGCCTTCTTGGCACACCCGTTGTCAGACACAGGTCTTGCAAATGTCGTCCCCCAGTCCGTGTCTTCACTTTATGGATTTTTTTTGTTTGTTTGTTTGTTTGTTTTTGACAGGCAGGGTGGACAGTGAGAGAGAGAGAGACAGAGAGAAAGGTCTTCCTTTGCCGTTGGTTCACCCTCCAATGGCCGCCATGGCCGGCACACTGCAGCCGGCACACCGCATTGATCTGAAGCCAGGAGCCAGGTACTTATCCTGGTCTCCCATGGGGTACAGGGCCCAAGCACTTTGGCCATCCTCCACTGCACTCCCTGGACACAGCAGAGAGCTGGCTTGGAAGAGGGGCAACCGGGACAGAATCCAGCGCCCCGACCGGGACTAGAACCTGGTATGCCGGCGCCGCAAGGCGGAGGATTAGCCTAGTGAGCCACAGCGCCGGCTACTTTATGTTCTTTTAACTGCCTTGCACGGAGCACAAGCTTTTAGTCTCGGTGATTTACCATTTTTTTTCTTTCATGGATTGATTATGCATTTTTGTGCCATATCTAAGAAATCTTTGCATTGTACAAGATGACATAATTTATTCAGAATGTTCTTTTGAAAGCTGTATACCTGCAGGTTTTACATTTTGGTCACAGAGCTACTGAGTTACACAGAGGTGTCCACTTGTGCAGCACTGAACTGAGGAGCCTGCCATCCCCAGCACTCTGCCCCTGTCCCTCTGCAGGTCTGGCTTCCTCCCTCTGTCCTATGGGCCTGCACGTCCACCATGTTCCCCGCACACACCACTGTCTTGCTGATTGTGGCTTCACGAGAAATCTTGAAATAAGATGGCATGGATCCTTCAACTTCATTTCCAAATTATTTCGGTTATTATAGTTTCCTTTCCTCTCCATATAATTTTATAATCAGTTTTTCTTTTTACAAAATAGTCTGCTTGGACTTTGGCTTGAGTTATGTTGACTGACCTGGGAAACTGGCCTTCCTAAAAGTGTGTGGTCTTCCAAATCAGGTAAGCAGTGACTTCTCCACTTAATTTAGGCCTTCTTTAACTTCCTTCAGAAGTAATACAAATTTTCAGCATACAGATCCTGGGCATATTTTGTCAAATAAACTTTCCTTAAGTATTTCATGGTTTTTGGTGCTATTATTTTTTTTAAATTTCAAATTACTCATTGCTAATACACAGAAATACAAGAGCTTTAAATTAAAAAAAATTATTTATGTATTTATATTTTAAAGGCATAGAGACAGGGAGAGATCTCTTCTCTGTTCTTTCATTCCCCAAATGGCCATAACAGCTAGGGCTGGGCCAGGCCAAAGCTAGGAGCCAGGAACTCCATCCAGGACTCCCACGTGGTTGTCAGGAACTCAAGTATTTGAGCCATCACCTCCCACCTCCCACCTCCCAGGGTGCATTAGCAGACAGACGCTAGATTGGAAGCACTCCCACAAGGGATGTAGGTGTCCTAACCTGGTGTTCGAAACCTGCATCTCCAAGAGGGGTCTTAACCACAGGGCCACACTCCTACCCTGACCACTGGCTTCTGCATATTGATAAGCTCACTCGTTACTTCTACTAGTTTTCTTGTAGATTCCATAGAATTTTCTCCCTGGATAATCATGTGCTTGTGAAAGGAGACGGCCTCTCCACTCACTGCCCTGAGGAGGACCCCAAGGCTGACTGGGAGAGGTGACAGCCAATCTGGCTCACGCACCTCTTCAGGGAGCAGCACCAGTTGTTAGGAAGATGTTCTTTTCTGGGTTTAGGAACTTTCTTCTCCTCTTGGGTTAGGAAATTCTCTCTTTACCAAGAGTTTTACCATGAGTGTATACCAAATTTGGTCAAATGATTTTTCTGCATTTATCGAGAAAATCAGACATATGGTTTTTCTTCTTTAACCTACTGATATGGTGAACTACATTCACTGATTTTCAACTATGAAAACAGCTTCATATCCCTGGAATAAACCCCACTTGATGACAATATATTACGTATTGCTATCAGTGCTGGCTACATGTTTAATATTTTGTTAGAAGACTTTTATGTCTCTGCTCACGAGAGACTAGTTTGCAGTTCTCTTTTCCTATGTCTTTCTCTGATCTGGTATCAAAAACAGAGCGGGGCAGTATTCTCCCCCTCCACTCTCCTGGAAGAGCTGTGTAAAATCAGCATCATTTCTTCCTTAAGCACTGTACTTGTCGGGCAGTCTCGTGAGGCCAGTTAGACCTGAAGCTTTTCTAGTCTGAAGGTTTTTTAGCTACAGACTTGATTCCTTCAATAGAGACAGGGCTGTCTGGATAACCTATATCTTCTACAAGCAGGTTTGGATGTTTGTGTCTTCCAAGGAACTTGCTGATTTCATCTAAACCTGATTCCATGGCATGAAGTTGTTTATAACATTCCCTCCTGGACTGAAATCCTAGCCGGCTCAGGGCTCACTGTGCCATTTCATGAGGCCAGGGGAGGGGGGTGTCCCCTTACCCAGGGATCACGTGGCCTCTATGTAGACAGCCCTCTTCTCAGGTACCCACTGTCTGTGCCCCAACTCAGATGCGGCCTCACTCTGCTTCCCAGGCCTCAGCTACAGGACCCATGTGGCCAGTGCATCTCCCCATTGTCAGTAAGTTTGGCAGCTGGGATGGGCAAAGGGGAACCCAGGGGAAGCTGGGAGAGGCATCCACACAGACCAACCAGATGCAATTTCTCATCTCACACACATGGCTGGGGGCAGGGAAAAGGACACAGAACTGAGCAGGTAATGCCAAAAATGCATTTTATTTTCAAGTCTGCTTTTTATTTAGCCATAAAAATAATGCCCTCAACCACACCAAAAGCAGGGAACTGTGAAAAGCACAGGAAAAGGCTGTGTACTGGGTGTGAGGCCTACGTGCACATAACTGCTCTGGTGGGCAGGGGAGACCCAGGAGCGCACATTTGCAGATCCTGAGCAGTGTCATGGGTGATACCTGAATAATACCTGTCCACAAAGAGGGCTCTCACACTAGGAATCTTGCAAAAACT